ATCAATTCGGTGGAATTCTTTATGAGGGTACTCCCGGAACTGTTGAATTTTGGTCAGCTTTTAATCAGCGGTTCCATACAAAGTCAACTTTCAGAAATTTCAGCAATTCAACAGCCTCGGGGCTGTTGAAAATGTTGTTGAATTGCTGAAAAGCAAGAGTTGTCACCTTTTTTTAAAAGTCGTGGCCACTCTGTAACATTTTAGTATCACCAGTACGCATTATTTATTTAAAATCAGCTTAGGAAGCATATTTGTGGTTCTTTTTACCTTGGTAACGATTTTAGGCAGTAACTAGCAATAGTAAATCAAATTTGACATGCTTTAAGTTCCGCTGTTTGAAAATTCAACAGGAACCATTTTGGGTCGTTCCCTTAATTGCTGAAATTTTCTGTTGAATTTTTAACAAATTCAGCAATTTAACAGTTTAGGGAATACCCTGTATAATTGACCAGCCATTTTTGATTTTTATAAAAAAAAATATTTTTTTTAGATTGCGCGCGCACTGTTTCTTACTTTTACGTCATTGAAATTTATCGCAAGAGTTCAGCAGACAAAATGGATCACTGATTACTGATCCATATGTCACACATAATATAATATATATATATTATAATATTATGTATGGATACGTATTAAAAAGATCTCATTAAAAAATGGATATTTTCCATAATTGCTTTAATTTCATAAAATAATTTTCTAAAAGACCCCTACTGTTTATGTATGAGCGATACTATCGCGATAGTATCGAGGTTAACTCCGCAAACTATCAAAACTATCGATGCGGGTACCTTCGATGTTTTTGCAGCTCTAAGATAATAGTCTAGTCACACTATGTGGGGTAACCTATCGAGTAATCCAATAACCCGATTACTCAAAAAAACAAGAGTTTGGTGTTTGTGTTGTTTATTTGACAAGGGATGGACCTTCCCCGATAGGAAATGAATACAAAATATATCGAAAAATACAAAAAATACTCCAAAGACCCTAAAAGTACCTCACTTTTGCTCACATCTAGTTGCCTATACTCAGCCTATGTAAAAAAAACAGGGTTATGTCAATAACCTCATAACTCCATAACTCCACCCCAGTGTAAATAGACCATTAGCTGTCGATAACTTTGTAGAGGTGCAGATTTTCCATCGATGTTTTTGTACGCTTTGGATACAAAGGTGGTTGGTTTTTGTCTCCACTGTGTTTAGGTTTAGCCGGGGTCAAAGCCAAAAGCCTAGTATTCAGTTCGGCTAATAGCCTATTGACACTAGGGTGGGACTATTGACATAACCCTGTTTTTATACCCGTTACTCGTAGAGTAAAAGGGTGTATTGTATTCGTGCAAAAGTATGTAACAGCTAAAAGTAAGCATTTCCGACCCTATAAAGTATATATATTCTTGATCAGGATCACTAGCCGAGTCGATCTAGCCATGTCCGTCTGTCCGTCTGTCCGTCTGTCTGTCTGTCCGTATGAACTTTGGGATCTCGGAAACTATAAAAGCTAGAAGATTGACATTTTGCATGCAAATTCTGTGGGTTCCTACGCAGCGCAAGTTTGTTTCAAAAGGGTGCCACGCCCCCTCTAACGCCCACAATCGCAGATATACGATTTTAAAAATTTCAATCTTTCGGAAAAGTAAAAATGCAGTTTTATGGTGTTTATTTTTTAAATCGGACCATTCGTTAAAAAGTTACCGCGGATCAAAGTTTTTATCCCCAACTCCTTCGCACTCCCTTTAGCTGAGTAGCAATTACCTTTCTGAGTCGGGGCACCCGACTATGGCGTTCTCTCTTGTTTTTTTTACATAGGCTGTGTACGAAAATGGATTCTTTAGTATCCCACTCGATTTTTAGAACATTTTTACCTTATCTATCAATCCTTTCTATAGACTTAAGGACTCGGAGAGTTAACCTTCAAAATACATCAATTTTTTCTAACTGCAAAAAAAAGAGTTGGCACATTGCAGGGCCTTTTGAAAGGCTGATGTTTGAATATCCTTGCAAATGTCCTTCCTATCCTAAACTTCGATCTGTGCTGATAAAATGTAAGGGTTGACACAATCCCTTTTCTTGATCCTTTCGCTTATCTGGTCTCTTAAGCCCAGAGGTCGGGCTGTGTGCCTTGCATTTTGGCACAGTTAAAACGCCGTAAAGGGATCGGAATGGTAAAAACCACTTCTGGGCACATAGTTCCCTATATTAGCATATGATTGACCCTGATCCTGACATTTAAAAATGATTTTTTCCTCAGTTATGATTATTGGCATTTTACATTTTTATACCCTTGTAGAGGGTATTATAATTTCAGTCAGATGTTTGCAACGCAGTGAAGGAGACGTTTCCGACCACATAGAGTATATATATTCTTGATCCAGCACCAATAGACGAGTCTATTTAGCCATGTCCGTCTGTCCGTCTGTCCGTTTCTATGCAAACTAGTCTCTCAGTTTTAAAGCTATCGCAATGAAACTTTTACATATGTCGGAGCGAGCCGGATCGGACCACTATATCTTAAGGCTCCCATGGGAATAGTTAAACATATAAAAGAAAATTCATTGTTACTTTGTAGGAAGTAGGCGTTTTAATTCTTGACTACTTAAAAACAAAATTCAAAAATAGAAACGCTGAATCTGGAATCCCTGGAACTGCACCGAGTGAGCATTACTTTATCTGCAAGGGTATATAAGCTTCGGCTTGTTTTAACTAGACTATCGTCCTCGTCGGGCAGGGCGGTCGCCTGAGCCTCCTGAAAGTCCCGGTCGATTTGCGCCTGCCAATCCTTGTCCATCCTGACCTCGGGCGGCAGCAGGGCTGGCATGGCAACGAACTCCAGGTTGGGGTCACCAATCAGCTTGCGCGCCATCCAAAGGAATGGTTTCTCGAAGTTGTAGTTCGATTCGGCAGAAATGTCGTAATACTGTAGAGGAAGATGTGGTCATTTCAATATTGCAATCACGAAAATAGATAAAAATGCATTGGAACTACTCCGCGAGTTTTCAGTTAACAAAAAAAAATCTACCACTTCGTACACCCAAAAAAAAAAACTTGGTAAAATCAACTGTAATAATTGTCAAATAGGCCCAAAGCAGCAAAATTGTCAATTCTACTAAGTAAATAGTTATTCCACAACAACAAAATACAAACAATTAGCAAGGACACACACCCAAAGCAAAAACCAAATACACGTAACTATTTTAATAGTTACGTAACCATCTTTGTTGGTCCTTCTCCTGGCCGGCGGTGTCCCAAACATTATATCGAATGGCCCCTCGATTGGTGTGGAAAGTCAGCGGATGCATCTACACGCCCAGCGTAGCCACGTAACTCTTCGCAAACTCCCCGGTCATGTGGCGATTTACGAAAGTTGTCTTTCCGGTACCGCCATCGCCGACGAGCACGCACTTGAATGTGGGAATTTCCTGAACGTTATAAGCCATCCTGCTAAGCACTACTAACTTTTTCACTCGAGGACTATTGGACTTCTGTATTGGACGATGAAATTTACAAATTTCTTTAACGTTTCTCGGAGACAGTTTGGGAAAGCGAATGTGGTGGTCGAGCGTTAGAGTAAAATTCACAATTTTTTTGTCGCAGGACTTCACTATATTTCGAAAACAGTTTAGGAAAGCGAATGTATCGAGCCTTAGAGGTTGAGATGAGGAGCAAGAATGAAATTTTACAAACAAAACTTAACTTAAGTGTTGGAAATGAGAAGCAAAGCCTACTATGTTAAGCAATGTTTTAAAATTAATATTTGAAAATACATATAAACGGGTTGGGTTTATGTGTCTATATTTTGACCAACTGATCCTTTAATGTTGTTGTATAGCTTAATCGGAAAAAATTATTTTGTACGAAAACTGCTATGAAAATTTACGAAATAAATTCGAAATATGCATTAATTTTTATAAAATTTAAAACAGCGTTAAAAAGTTTTTAAAGTTTAAGTTTTTAATAAAAACAAAATGATTAAGCAGGAACATGGAAATTGTCTTTTATTGGAGGTGTCGCAGAAATCTTTTCCCATCAAAATCCTTTTTATTTTTTTCGTTATAAAATGTTCTTAACCAACCGTCTTTAGTTGCTAGGGATTTCTGATGGTTCTTTTTTTCTAAAATCCAAGCCACAAACTAAAATAAAAAATCCAAGTCCATTACTTGAATGACAACATTCGATTTTATTAAATTTGCATAAAACTGGCGCAGATCCTGCTACTCTGCGCCCTTGCAATGCATATGCATCGTTTGATTTACATACAAAGGGATTAAACATATTAATTGTAAACGTTATAATAGGCAATAATCATATGTACTAGCAATAGTTGTTTTTTGTGTGTTTAGCATTCTTATTACTGCTGGCTCTTGTGTAGTTAATTAATTAAGTACCACAGCGTAAAGTAGGTTCAACAAAAAAATATGTGTGGCATATTTTCAGCTTCGACCTTTCATATTTCTTCTTATTTCTTTTTTTTTTTTTTGGTTTGTTTTGTGTCTTTGTTTGAAGTGCATGGGCGCCACTAAATGGCCTAAGGGGAATTTGGTAAGGGTGTGGAGAGGATCTATTAAGGGTGATATATCCATACACATTTCACATACATATACAATTATAATCGATTGTGGGGTGCAGGCGAAGAAGCATCCGCCTTTCACCATTCAACACACATAGTTAACGTCATTATGCTACAGTTGCCGGCTCCGTGGACTAAGTTGCGCTATTTAACATAGAAACTAGAGAAAACACTAACCCACAGCTCAGGGCGCTCACGAAATCTCTAGAAAGGTTCGCACAAATCTTAAAGGGGTTTGTAAACGGTGTACCATCCTTTTAACAAAGCCTAACTGATTTTGATATCGTAAAGGTGGTGCTTAAAGTATGCAATACATTTCGTTTCCAAAAGAACATTTATAGGATTCTAATACAGTTTTGGACTAGCCAGCAATCCAATTTGGTTCTCTGACATTAAAGTATAGGCATTTCGCCCCAAAATGAAATGGTTTTATGAAAGAATAGTTTTGTACATTCTTATTACTTCGATTTATATTGAAGTAGGACATGACTAATACATTTAATGGCATACTTTCAAACCCTCAGAGATTTCGCAAACTCTCCGAAATAAGTTCGCATTGATTTTGTTTATGTTTTGTGTGCCGGGGTTCCTGGGGAATTCTGGGTGTGTTGGGAACGGGTAAGATTCGAGCTTCCTAGCCACCCACAACGTATTTACATGGTAGCCAATTGAAAGCCACCCGGCGCACCTAGTAGAAGAATAGCAGCCGTTCTTGGGCGGAGGCGGAGAGCAGGCGCCACGATCGCTTGATGCTCACATACTGAATTAAAGCGCGTATGCTGATCAGGAAGCCAAAGGCGCAGATCAGCCACCAGAGCCAGGAGTTCTCGTGCGAGGCCAGGTCCGTCGAGTGCTTGACGATCAGCGTCCATTTGGCCAGGGACAGTCCGAAGCCCGACAGTGCTCCGTATCGGGCGGCAATTGTGTGACAGAAACAGGTGAGCATCAGGAAGCCGATCCAGTTGAAGAGAAACGCCACAATGAAGGCCGTGATGAACATGATGTCCGTGCCGAGCAAGTTGTCCGTGGTCGACAGGCTGTTCTCCGGATCACTGGCATCGATGGCGATAAAAGTGAGCGCCGGCTGAGCGGATCGCACAGCAGCGGCTCCATCGCGCAGCGGATTTGGCGGCAGCAGCGGATTCGGCGGAGGCGGAAGCTGCTGCGAGGAGGGCAGCGTCAAAAAGGCGGGCGGCAGCTCTCCGTTTAGCGACTTTTCCATTTGCACCTCCTCGTAGGTGGGCAGCTTCCCGTGTATCTCCGGCGGCAGCTGTGCATTCATTAGATCCGCCTGGCCCGGAAGCTGCACCTGCATCGGCATCTGCATCTGCATCTGGCCGGGATCGGGTGTGGCTAGGGCCAGCGTTGACATCTGAGCCGGCAGTGCCACCTGTTGGCCATGGCCCACGTTCGCCTCGTACGGCGGTGGGGCACTGAAGTCCGCCTTTGGCGGTCCCAATTGATCGTCCCCGGGCGATGGCTGGTTGTTGTGCGGCATGACTGGAAATTGGGATACAAAAATCAATAAGATTAGTTAATAAAGTGCTTCTGGGGTTAGAATATATTAGCTGTCTTTTTTTGACAGCTCAAGTCAGATAAATTAGATGTACATGTCTACCTAAATTAAATTTAATTATCCATTTCCCTAATTGGCATTGAAAAATCTTTTAAATGAAATTAAATTAATAAATTAAAATTGAATATTTTCGTCCCCCTTAGTTATATAATTTATCTATGTAACTTACAGCTTTAATTAAACCTCCTGATATTTCATGCAACTGCAAAATATAATTAAATACATGCTGAATTTAGAGAGAATTGTTTCTGAATAATTTTCAGAAGAATTTTACAGAATCGGAATAGGTTAAATATATAAATAGGTATACATGTAACTCTATTTCAATTCCATCACAATTCCAATCCAAATTAAAAGTATAGCTTGTTGTTTAGTTCTCGCTTTTATTAACGTTAATAGTTCACGCGTCGTTAAATAATATTAGGTGTATAATAAATAAATGGGCGGCTAGCTGCCAAAATTGCATTGCATTATATCTAGATTTCATTTCATCTCTCTCTCTGAGCAATTAGTTGTCGTTTTTTTTAATACTTGATCTAAATTTTTAGAGGCACGTCAGTAGGCACTTAAAACTAGAGCTTTCGCCATCTCAATTGGATGGTTAAAAGAATAGTTTTGTGGTAGCAATTAAAATAAACAGTTGGACATGTTAGACATTCAAAAACAAATTAGCAGCCTGGCTTATTAATTGGCGATTGGGAGTGTTAGTTGCAGTGCCTGGGGCGATTGGAGGCCACCGCCTGGAGGTGAGCCTCCTCCAGCGATAGGATGCGGCAGGGGCCAAAGGGACGTCTCACGGGGCGCAGGGGTCGCAGGCCATCCACCTCGTCCATTCCCTCGTTCTGACAACCACCGTCGGTCGTTGTGGTTGTTGCTGTGGTGCCGTCGTGCAGCTTCTGTTTCTGCAGCTTCTCGTGTCGCAGGTACAGGACCACACAGCACATGGCCATCAAGAGAAGCGCCAGTGTGGCTCCGCTCACAATGCTGGCCTTCTCCAGCATCACACGGTTCCTGGTGGGCAGGTAGGAGCCATCTATCTCCTTGTACTCGCACCGGGGCCCCATGAAGCCCAAGGCGCACTCGCAGTTGTACAGGATTTCGTTGTGGATCTCCACCGTAAAGCAGGTGGCATCGTTTAGGCAATACCAGGCGGCATATGTGGGCGGACAGGCGAAGATCGGAAAGGTAACATTCGGCCTCGGCGTCGTGGATATCTCCACATTGTCCGGCGGCAGGATCGGTGCAGCTGTGGGCCGCGGCTTGGCTATGGCACGCGATGAGCAGGCGGCGGTTAGCGGCAAACAAGCGCCGATTAAAGCGATGGCAAGCGGCAGGTCCTGGACTCGCATCTTGATCTTAACTCATGGCAGCTTTACTTGGGAATGTTGCGCAATGCAGTGTGAGGTGTTTGGTAATGTGGAATTCTTGGCTTTGGCTGGCAGGCTGCAGGCGGCAGGCGGCTGCAAAACAAAAACGAAGTGCAATTAAAATCAACTCAAAAATGTAAACTCGTATACGGGTTTGTGTGGGTTAATTGCCTGCCTAGCACCGCCAGCCGCCTCCTTCTCACAATTACAACCTATGCTCCTCGACCTACAAGTGAGGACGAGAAACAGAAAATCGAATTTCATAAATTTTTAACAAAAAAATGTCATCATTTATTTACCTGGCCGGAATCGCGAGCGGAACCCAAGCGGCTGTTGTATTTGCACAGTTTGCTTTCATTATCGAGTATTTTTTACAGGTTACACTCTCACTTAACATTACGTTCACTTCAGACACTTCAATATATAAAAACTGTTTATTTTATTTATATAAATTTTAGAAAAAAAACTATCTTAACCTTAAGGTGCTAACGAGACGAAGGTTCGCTATATCTGGTTATCTACGACTTATATAATTGTATTGGAAGCTGATCTTGAAAAGAACATTTTCAAGATAGCCGACGAAAAGTATCTCATTTCATTTGATTCAATCGAATGTAATTGATCTCCGATCCGTTTATTTACAAAATAATTTTTCTCAGATTACGTTATGTTTATATCTGCAAAATGGATTTACAGCCTTTTCGCTGAAACAAACAATTTCATTGTTGTTTAAGGTAAATCGCCACCATTTGAGTGGGCATTCAAATAAACAAATTAGTTTCCGTCTTCGCGGTGATTTAGCTTTGGCAATCAGTAAGCCCATAATAATAAGGCACTGGCCTTAGTCAGCAAAACTGAATTTAACGGATAGATAAAACTGCTGTTTGAAAGAATTATGATCTAGACTTCCAATTAGGCAGATTTTTAAAATGTTTTATATTTAAAAAATGAAAACAGCGATGGTCCTAAAAGTTTATCCTAATTAAGTTATCAACTTCTTGTTAACTGCTCTAATCTATCAAACGATTTGGAATAAAATTAGTTAATCGATGTTAACGATGCTAACGAAACTGTCTATCACCATATATTATAAAATTAAGTCAATGGAATTTAACCGTATAATATGCATTTTATAGATTATATTTTGTATAAGAAAATTTTAACTTAATTTAACAATCATGCATGTATACTACGAAAAAAATATGGAATATGTACAAAAAAGTTTAAAAAAATTTGGCGTTTGTCCAGAATTCTTCTTAAATTAAACAGTTATCAAATTAAACAGTTATCCATAAAAACTATCTCAATTTAAAGCCTCATACTTATAAAGATATTTTCCTTTACTGCGCAACACATGCACACCTCTACATACATACATAGGTCTAAAAATAATAATAAAAAAAAAACAATGCGTACGAGTGAAAGTTGACAGTTGAAATGACAGGAGAGGAGTGAGAGTGCGAATGAGACAGTCCCATGGAAACAAGATATAAATGCAATAAATTCGGTCAATTGAAATGTAAATTTAGCTGAACAAGCAAAAAATAAATAGTTCAAGCCAATAAAGACTTGCGTGAGTGGGCCTAAGATGTGCCTAATTTCTGATAGTGTATGCAAATGTTTTTTTTTTTTGTTTTTTAATAGTTAGTGGTAGTGTGTGGGTGAGCCGGACGTAAGCTTGAATAATGAGCTAATGGACGCCAACGAGCAAAATGAGCACCTGGGGGCTTATCACAAAAAAGGCCTCAAACAAAAGGGCGCACATAAAAAAACCATGATATGATAGTATAACCAATTTGATTATTTAATATTGCAATCATATTGGCTATAAAAATATATGTAATATAAAAATTCTACAAAAAATACGATAAAAATTTATATATTTTCATTATAAACTTTATCAATTTGATATATATTTTATTTCTTCCTGTGTGATGATTAGTGCTGAAACATCAGGAGCACCAACAACAGAAAGGTGAACGGTATTGATAAGGTGACAAATACCATCCACAAGTGCGGAACGCAAGTGGATGCTAGGCGGTAATTACAGTTACCTGCGGATGAGTCAGGTGTGCGGGCACTTGAAATATTGCAAAATTGCACGAAAGCGAGAAAGATTGTAAATTATACAGTCGTACTAGTCGGAGTCATCTTTTAAAATGTGATGTCTTAGAAAAAACGTTAACTTTATTTTTGTAAACTTTTAAAAGTGACGCCGTCGATTTCAAATAACAAAATTCTGTACAAAAATGTATAGGTATAACTTTTCTTTGTTGACACCATGAGGTTGAAATTGTTTCATTTTATTGTTCTTAAACATCATTCAAATTTTGCCCAGATTTATCTGATTGTAAACACTTTTTATATGCAAGTAAAATGTGAATTGAGTCCGCATAGTCTTATCAAAATTTTCTAAGAATCCAGCAATGATCGGGGCCATGTACGCCTACAATTTACATTTTCCAAAGGTCGCATTTGATTAAATTTAATTGAAATTGAATAATGTAAAAATTATTTAAATTGACCTAGACTAACACTAAATTTATATTCCATTTTCTGAGAATATCAATTCAATGCGATCAAAAATATATGTTTATTCATTTAGCTTTACTATCTAATTTCCTGATAACATGTAGTTCGTAATAAACTATTACAAAAAAAGGAAATATTAAATCTTATTTTGAATAAATTTTAACATAAAATGCAACATTTAAATATTTTAAATTCTTTATCTGTAATGAATATTTTGTACTTAGTTGTGGAAAATGCAACTTTACGTGCAATAGAAAGTAAAATTAAACTTTTCGAAGTTGTACTGTAACTTTGCGTGTGCGAAATAGAGGAGAGGGCGGAGGGAGTGCGGCGAAGTTGAGAGGGAGAAAGCAACAGGGCCGTGACAAAAGGCGTTGGAAATTAGCGAATCGCTGTGGAAAAGTAACAACGCAGTTTGGGCCAGGTTTTGGATTTCGGCCGGAGTTTGTTTCGTTCGTTGATAAGAAATTTGAGCGCGTGGACAGCTGCCGAGCAGCAGGTGTGCAAGAGGGAGAGAGGTGTATCGCTGGGATAGAGTAAGAAGCAAACCAGTTAAACGGGACCGGGAGCACAAAAGAGAGGCTCAAGATGCAAGCGGAAGAAGAAGAAGAAGACGACGCAAAGATGCAGATGGAGGCTGTCTGAATGGAAGGTCTCTCAAGGGGCAATTTCCTGGATTGAATGAAACACACAAGCACCAACAACTGCATTGGTATTGCAATGGAATAGAGAAAAAGAATACGAGATGGTCGACTGGGGAAGGGGAGGGGGGAACAACTGCGAGAACAAGTTTCCAGGCAAACGGCGCTTGTTGTTATTGTACAAGGGCAAATGAATTAATTTACTTGTGTAAATATGAATTAAATAAACAAGTACACCGACACATGGCCAGACTTATCAGAGTGTGCACTTTTTTTAGCACCTGAGTGGCGAAATCCCAGCAGAATTAAGATTATTAATTTGCTAAACAAAACATAAACACATGTACACACACACGAGCACACGCACAGGGTGCGGGTGAGCGAGGGGGGTGGGAGAGCCTTGACTCTCTCCTGGAGCGCTCCTGTAACGGTTATTTTCCTCCCTTTCTCCGCCTTGCCTTTTCTTTTCTATTTCTGTCCTCGATTTTAATTCGATTTGATTCTATTTCTCCTTTTCTGTGCCATGTTCTATTTATTCACCTTGTTTTCTTCTATGCGTTGGTCGATTGCGATTGCGTTCGCTTTTCTCTTTTGCGCAGAGCTCTCTCGCGTTTCCGTTTTATTGATTTTGTTCGAAACTTTGTTTTGGCCAAACACGCACACAGCTAATACTGTTGGTTTTTTGGCTGCACAGCGACAGTCGACGGTCCGCCCTCGAGTGGCTTCACTGTAGGCAATTAAACTAATTTAAAACTGGGCTCACTTCGCGAGCGAAGCGAAAAAAACAAATGCACCACCAGGAATAAATCTTCGATTTCTCAGCTAGTGGTGGCAAGGTGCTGCGCAGTCGCTATCGATAGTGGGGATGGGAGCGTGAGGTACCATCGCAGGGAAAAATATTGAGTGGTTGAAATTTTGGGTCATAAAACTAAAAAAGGTAAATACAAAATATTATAAAACACTTCATAAGAAATAAGTGTTTTTAATAGCTTTACATTTATATTGCTGATTCGCAGATAACAATCGATAAAAGCGATAAACGATTCGCTAGGCCCTAACTCCCACCACTAAGCCAAGAACATTTTGTAAACAACGACGTGGACGTAGTAAATTTAATTAGAAATTATCCCTAAATATGCGACAATTTGTGTTCGTTCTGCTGCTGGCCCTAGGCGTAAGTTAATGTAGCATCCAGAACATGTGCAAAATGTCAAATTTATCCTTTGCAGTACCAGCAAATCCACGCCGAATTGACGGCCGCTGACTGCCGGGAACTGGGATTCATTAAGGCCCAGTTAATGTGTTCTAGTTGTGACAAACTAGATGATTATGGACTGGACACCATCAAGTGGGTTTAATAATATCACATACATTTTTTGGGGGTGGTTAGGAGGAAGTAATTGAAGAATTCTGATCGTAAAGCATTCTCCTTACTCGAATCTGTCAAACGATGTTGGGACCTTACCGATTACGCCCTCGTTACTTCTCTTAAACCTAATTTAGATTATAGATTAATTTAGATTTCAGATTATAAGGTAGATGTATATTTAGTTTCTTAAAAAGTATGTATTTACATACTAATCTACTATCTACATAGATTAAAACGTTTTCGACCCTATAAAGTATATTCATATATAACATGTCCGTATGAAACTTCAAGATCTCGGGAAAATGAAAAGTTAGTGAGGTAGAAAATAAGAATTCTAGTAATTGTTCTGAAGAACAACGTGAATCGTACTTCTAGACCTTATTATGTATTTTGAAATCCGAATTATAGGCGTTTTACTTTACTTACAATAATGATAACAATCAACAATTAATATTGATAGAAATTCAAAGAATAGCTATTAGTGTTAATCGGCTTAAAGCCAAAAGTTTATTTTAAGCTTGCACTTCTAACAACAACCTTCTTTCACAACTAAAGAATTTTGTAACATTTCAGACCCCATTGCAAGCAATGCTGCACTTTAGATCAACAGCCGGCGGCCCAGCGAACATATGCCAAGGCCATTTTGGAGGTTTGCACCTGCAAATTCCGGGCCTATCCCCAGATTCAGGCCTTTATCCAAAGCGGCCGGCCCGCCAAGTTCCCCAATTTGCAGATCAAATACGTAAGGGGCCTGGATCCCGTGGTCAAGCTTCTAGATGCCAGTGGTAAAGTTCAGGAGACCCTCTCCATCACCAAATGGAACACGGACACCGTAGAGGAGTTCTTCGAAACGCATCTGGCCAAGGATGGTGCCGGCAAGAGTTCTTACAGCGTGGTCGAGGATGCCGACGGAGACGACGAAGAGGATTATCTGCGCACCAATAGGATCTGAAATTATCATTCCCAAACAGTAGATTAATAAATTCAATTCAGTAGAAGTTATAAAACTCGAACATCATCTCTCACTTATTTCTAGTTAAGTAAAATCGAAGATAATCGAGAAATTTATTATTTATTTCGATTCTTTAAAATTGTAATCCGTCATTATTGAATATAAATATTTATTTTGTAAGATTTAAGATGGAAGTGTGTATAAAGCTTAATGCATAAAAAACAGGATAGTTTCATATATGGGATAACCAAATAAGAAATTTGAGAAATAATAATTTAATATCAATTATTTCCTTTTTCTCAACGTATTTCTATGTTTTTAGTAGATTTTTAAATGAGATCAAATTAGTTTTTTCTGAAAAAAAAACCCATCTCAATATTTTTATTGTTTTTTCATTTTTCTAACTTTTTTTTTAAGATTAAGTACTTTTAGTGATTCGCGAAATAAAGTGTAATGTGAAAAAAGAAGGACATTAGAAAAGCTCGTTTCTAAAGGCAATGCAAATGCTAAGTTACCGGGAATCGCCGATTTCTTTATAATAATAATTAGTAGTGACTTAAAATAAGATTCTAAGAGGCTAGTACGCAGTAGGAAAACTAAATATAATAACCCCATAACTCTTAAAAGGAAATTTGCCAAGTTGACTTTTTTTAAATAGTCAAGTTGACTTTTTCCTGGAAATGCCCATATGAACATATGTTTGACTGAGCTTTTTTTGCGCGCCACCGGTATAAAACACCACCGGTTTAAAAACAGTTTGAGAGCCACTCGAATGGGTAACTACTGCAATGCGACGCCGGCGCCTCAGGTGAGAATTTTTGATTCATAAATATAAATTAAATCATTTTATTTGTTATCTTGTTATCGATGGGAAAGGAAAGTTCCCGGAGGCAACAAAGTCTGGTCATTGTGGTCGGAATTCTTATCGCATTGTGAAGACATCACAATGTTATGTACTTCCCCCCGGCAAAACAACACATCGCCACCCCCTTTGCGGACCCACAGCAGTGACGTAGTGGGCTCACATGGTCGGGGGTCCTCAGGTCGATCAATATTTGATCAGCCTGTTGGAGTAATTGTGGTAACTGAAACAGCAAATATCATATTTATGCCCGCCAAAATCGTAGCTGATGTCTATTTCCGATGTGTGACGCAGCCTTGACAGCCTTCTTTCCGCTCTCTTAGTCTTTTTATTGTCCGGATATTGCGCATGAGCAAACAGTTCCCTAGTTAACTATATTAATTCTAAACAAATTTGTCTTAAAATAGTCGAAGGGATGTTTTTTTTTTATTTTATAAAATTGTTTTCAATTTTGTTGTTGTGCAATAAAGAAACAGATATTTTTGTATTATTACATTTACAATTTCTTTATTATTTGGCTTAAAAAATATTTTTTTGTCAAGTTTAAAAAAAGATCGATTTGAAAAGTTTATTTTTTGTGACTGATTTGCATTCAAAAATGTAAACAGTAATAGAGTAAAATATTGCGAACGTTTATCTAGTTTTTCTGAGCTGTTGGTGCGATCAAGACTATATACCTTTAGTGGGTCTCATTCAGAACGTTGGAAACTTTAAACTGTAGTTTTAATACACTCGCAAGGGCAATAAATTGCAAAACGAGTTTATGCAAATAAACGTTAAAAAGTGTTTTCTGAATATTAGCATTCTTAATAATGCATTTAAAAGTATACGATTCTCCCACAACTGATTACAGCAGCGAAATATGCTGCACCGCAATCGGCAGAGAGAAAAGAGCAAATAAAATTGTTTATAAACTCTGTGCACTATCGCCTGTTTACGTTTCATTACAATGCATATTTATATTAGTATTTCTTATTTGCTGTCCTTGTTGTCTATTGTTGTAATCAAAGTCGCCGTTTCACAGTGGTTCGAAAGGGACTATCCTCTCCCCAAATAATATTTTATAGAATATTTCAGGTCTTATGCGCCACTGTGATGGACCCTTTATCGACATTGCCCTTGAAGGCAATGCAACCAACCATCCTAATACATGTGCCATCACAATCCAATCCAATCCAATCTCTAACGTCAATGCTGGGCCCCTCTGATGCATATGGATTATTTTTAGCTGCTCCTATCACACGCAGGCCCAATCGTACAATATAAATATATATACAGGGACAATGTACTCCTAAACGTACGTACTTAAGACACGTGCCCCGCCCTAATAGACTAACCTACAAGTAAACAAATTTTTCTCATGCATTAAAAGATATACCTTCCCTTCGTTCACAATAACTAATTAAATAATATAAATGTATTGTCTACGAATAGATTGTAATTAATTAAAAATACAAAAAACTAAAAATTTATTTATAAATAGTCACCAAATAACAAACTCTTAAAAGCGAAGGTAATTATAATTGCTAAGGTATAGACGTTCCAGTCAAAAATGCGCATTTTCTGATTTGCATAGTGCTATCAATCAATGGGGGAGGCGCTGTAATCAATACTAATTATTTGCTATTATGATTACTTCTGCGCACGCACACACACCGATGTACGCATTACAATTGGAATCCGAGAATCTCTTGCGTTCTTATCAATTGTGTGCCATATAAGCAACTGGGGTGCATTCAACTGGCCTGGCCTGTGCTGCAAAAACTACGATATATGTTTATGTACATTTTGTGTATGCGTTGCGCAGTTGACATCAATAAATCAGCATAAACTTTTAAACTTAAGCAAACAATTTTAAAAATATAACTTTAAAAATTCCATATTTGTACATTAAAATTTAATATAAAAACATCACAGAAAATCCTTGGATTAAGTCATTCATATTTTTAATGGTACCAGGTGTTTTTGGCTCGATAAGTTTGCGCAAATCCACTCGGCTAAAAAATTAAACGAATTTTGGTATTCAAAAAATACCAAATAGATCCGCCACAGTCTGAGACAGTATACTTTCATAAAACTTTTCCACTGGAAAGTTTGTTTTTAAACAAAACCTTTAGAACCTGGCCTAAACCAAATTTAAGGGGTTATATACCTTTTTAAAAAAAAAAAAAACGAAATTTTTTTTTTGCTGAATCCTAAAGAATATTCCCTAGAGAACATCTTCCCAAATTTTCATACAGATCCGAATAATAGTTCGATAGGAAAACAGCGTTTTGACGCGCTCGACTCCAATAGTTGCAACGTCAACGTAAAACTTTAAATGCGATTATCTCAAAGTCGTGTTTTTCCAAAAGTGCCTTCGCTGTGACCACGATTGCGCAAGAACTATTTGATCGATCTTCTTCAATTTTTTTTTAATTATTCGTAATGATTGTGCCGAGTTCGTGAACGATTCAGTTTTTATGCGCCAATTTTAATTTCGCAGATCAGAATTTTTAAATAAAATTTTTAGAACTTGAAAAATCAACTTTTTGGAAAAATTGTTACTGTATGCGGAAAAAAGGAAATATTCTTAAAAGTAATCGTTCACGAACTGAAAATAATACTATACTAACTAAAAATTTTTGGTTTTTTGATATCAGTTGACCTGCTGGACTTCCATCGTGGTCACCGCAAGCCGCTATAAAAAAAAAAGGGTTCCGAAAGAATTGCCATAACTTCGTAAATTATTCATATTTTTTCAAGAACAAAGGCTTGTTGTTTCGATAAGAACATGTACTATCAATAAATAATAACTTCACTGTCATAAAATAATTGCTACACACCAAAAAAAAAATCCAAAGTTCCCTCTATTTTTTCGCGCAAAAAAGGTATATAACCCCTTAAGCTGTGACAGATGTGTACGATTTTTCAACAAAAGTTTTTTTTTAAGTTTTTTAAAAATTGTATAATGTAAAATGTTTAACACAAAAGTTATTAAGCTCCAATCAATATATGTAGTACATAATATGTACCATTACCGATTTTGTGCAAGGTTGGGACACTTTCAACGTGGAAGTTTGGCTGAGAGTTTAATTAACTTTTAAAAGTGTAACAACTTAAAACAATTTTTTTATTTATACCGCATTAAAAAAATGTGTATATTCTTGTAAAGAATTATTATATTATTCCGTTTAAAAAATCCAAAAGATATTTTGAGTATGGGGTTTGATAGATAAAGGACTAAACTTTTAATTGTTTTAATTGCTAAAAAAACAAGAATTCGTTCACCTGCTAAATAACTTCAAAGTTGGCAAAACAGCATTGCGGACCTATTTTTCAGAATCTTTTTCGTGAACACACTTTAAAATGTTGTGTCAAAGCGAATAAGATTTGAAGGTAAATCAAGGTAAATTTTCAATGCAACATAGTAATTTCTTTTTATCTGCAACGATCTGCAAGGATATATAAAATTCGGCTTGCCAAAGTCAGCTCCCGTTGTTTTAAAATTTATTTAATTACTATTTATTTGACCGCTACCGTCGTAAGAAAGTTGTTTGAATAGAGCCAGCTGGCTGGAGCAATAGCAATAGCAATATGTGTAACATTATAGCGACAGCAATGGCAATGTCCCCAGAGGCCCCCCGGGAAGTGGAGAGATTGGAGCGTGAGCATGGGCGGATGCCGTGTGCTGAGACTGAAGCTCCATGCTGGAGCTGAATAATGTCGGCCGATTCTGGGTATGGATTGCGGAGTGGAATCTGTTGCTGTTGTTGTTGTTTCTCTCGTGCGAGTGCTGATAACATTTGCGCCTTTCGAGTGGCTTGGGGGTGATAACGATAATGACGTTATCGTCACAGCGTCATCACTTCCAGCTAACTCACACTCGCAGATTTAATTTCATGCCATTTTAACACTTAATTAAGGTCTAACATGAACACGAAAAAATAATAAACAGCGGGCTATCTGGCTCGAACGTTTTCCGTTCGGTTTTGGCGATTTAGTTAGTACAGTCGTACCCCCCGAAAGATGTTTGGGGCCGCTCAGCCGCTGTTAACATTATAATTAAACATGCGAGTGCGAAAAGTAAACATAAACAGCAATAAAATCTAGCGAAAACATTTCAATTAAAACGCTTCGATTTTTGCTATAATATTGATTTTGGGCAAAGAGGCTTGACTGTATTGGCGGTTTTTTTTTGCTTTACTACATGTGGGGCTTGCCCTTTACCGTTATAACGCTGATATCAGCTCTCCCACGCGAACTCTGCTTATTCTCTCTGCGATCGGCCAACTCATTCACCAGACAAAAAAATTACATATATAAATCATTTAATATTTTACTGATATTTTAAGATCAATCGTGTAATATGAACTAATTTTACTGACTATTAATGATATCAAAGAAAATTGTTTAATAAATATGAATATTGGATGTAAAAACTCAATACTTTTCTAAAATGGTTCAATTTTTATAAAAAAAAATTTAAAATATAACATTGATTAAAAAAGGTTTGTGTCTCAAAAGCTTCATTATTAGTTATGAAAATTCCATAACGTTGAAAAAAAAAGTATATTTTTATTCGAATTTATATTTGAATCAATATAAGTGTTGCACTCACCAGGTGATGGCCAGTTAAAATAAAAATATGCTAATTTTTTGTATTGATAACTTTTTTCTTTCCGTGTGGCTTATTAGTTTCTAGCTTTGGCTCTCTCGCTTTTTTATAAGTTTCTGGCTGTAAAGATCGAAAACTTGATTTTCGAATTACGATCAGCTTGTTTTATTTTCCTGCTTGTTTTATTTATTAAACCAAGCTGACGTCTTACGCATTTATGTGAATATTTTATTTATTGTTTGCTCTCCGGCTCTCCTGATCCGTCGCTCTCTATCGCGGCACATGTGCAAATATGTACCAAGCTGTCTGGAAAAGTAGTAGAATTCGAAAGAGGAGTATTTAGCAGTAGTGCTTCCTCCAGTTATTCAATATTCCGCATTGAACTTTGACTACTAAATTTAGCACACACAAAACACAAACTGCGTCGCGCTTATTAACAAAGACACAAACTACTCACTCACACATACCTTTTTGAGAGCGGGTGAGCAATTAATAAATGTGCTTGATTACTATTTTTTCTATAAATTTACATAATTTTACGTGCCATTATTGGAACACCTAGAAATGCAGTCGCCCACGTAAACGGAATTTTGGAGCAACAGGTGGTGGGCAAGACAAAATTATGTCTTTTCAGAAAATAATATGAACAAGTAGTTTCTATCTATTATAAATATACCTACATTTACCTCAAGCTTCAAATAAAAACAAGTTTTTCAATAAATGGTATGGTTTTCTGGACTTTAAAATCAAATTTAAGATTTATTTGAAACAAATAACTGTGTTATTACATTGAATATAATCTTATGGCTTATTCTCCTCGGTTTTGCGGTTTTTGTTGCTCTTCTTGATGTACCGTTATTTTTATAAATGTAATTATATATTACATACACAATTACTTAGTACATATCGTATAATAATAATAGTATAATTTATAATTAGCATTTCTCTCTCACTTATCTAGTATTATTATAAATCTTCAAGATGTTCATTTTATTTACGTGTATATTTTAACACAAAACAGCAGAGACAAATGTTATCGATCTATATATATATTTTTGCGCGCTTCCCACATAAATTACAATTTTAAATTACATTTATATATGTATTTTTCTTTTTTCGTCGCTTTTTTGTGTGTCGCTTGTAAAGTTTTTCGCGTTTTTACCTCGTCTTATTTTAGTTTAGTTTATAACTAGAGTTTTACATCGATAATTAGAAAAAGGAAATCTTTTTGTTGAGGCTATATTAGCAAAAACATTTCTGTCACTAATATTAACCATTATTGTGTATAGTTATGCATATGTATAAGAAGTTCTGGTACTCGAATTAAATTAAAAATTTTCTGTTTGCACTTTTGAAGCTTTTTAGTTGTTTTTCTATCCCATTTGTAAGTTTTTGTTACATTTATTAAGTAGATTTAGACTCAATGAATTATGTGTATGTTTTACGGGGGTCGTATTATTTATAAACAGTGTGTATTATTCAGGGTTAAGGATCGCCTTATCCTAGCTATTCCAATCTCCTTATTGTTGGTTGCAGGCCATAAAGCTTTCTTTGATTTGATTCTTAAATATTTGTTTACTTTCGTAATAAAATGACTTGAAAAAACAACGGATTTAAGTTGGTTTGGGTATTATGGTAATAGTCGTAGTTCTCATGCTCGGTAATTATCGTTCGGAAAAAGTGTTTTGAAAAAACCTATCTACTATTTGTTAAAGACTTGTAAAAAATTCCATTAATTTTCATAAGTTTGTTTTTCTTTTTGTTTTGAGTTCGCTTTTGATTCTTGATGGTTTCGTAAAATTTGTCGGAGCAGGACACTGGAACTGGATTCCGATTGTGAGCTACACTTGTGCCTGGACTATCAACTTTATATCAGTATGTGTATTTTGCTATATGCTTGCATGGTTATATACTCGTTTAGTTTGTGATACTGCGTTTATGAAGAAGGATCTCGAATATACATACATCTATCTATCGTTTTGTATTCGAAAAGTTTTCGCGGGGGATAATGTGAAGACTTTACAGCACTGAGGGGATCGGTTTCGATATCGGCATCTTAATCTCTAGTAATTGCTTCGACGGCACATTGGGATTATAATATAGGTAGGGTTGTACAATTAGCTAGCTATTTCTTCCTTTTTTTTGGATCAAACAAACGAACGGAACCGGGTTAGATGGCATATCCGAATAGATGGTTTTCAGGAATTAATTCGCTTAGAGGGGCTCTTCCCAGCTTTCTTTATTTTCGTGTAAAGAATATAATTTTGGTCGTTGGTCTAAGACACTTTTTGGTTTCAATCCTTTTCGCCTTCTTCCCTTTAGGTATTGTATTATATACAGAAATTAGAGCTTAAGTGTGTAAATTGTATAGTGACTTATGTGCGTAGTTAAGTAAAATCTGAGACTCGCTGTAAAATATGTTTCGCTTTTTCAGGGGTGCTAGGGATTTTGTTGAGGAAAGAGGGTGTAAAAAGACACTCAAGTACACTTAGGGGTTAACAATTAATTTTTTTTACTTTTTTTTTGTAAGAGCTAGCTACGAAAGCACGGACGATAACGAGATAACAATATTGAGGCCTGTTGGAAAACTTTCAGTTTCATCATGAATTTGCGGAAGTGCATTTATATAAACCTTACAATCACCCTCGTCAACATTTTCGAAATTTAATTGGGCTCACATTAGGCTTGTGAATCATGGACTTAAGTAATATGGCATTTAATCGGGAAAATTTAATTGAAAGTGTTTAAAAAACTCAATTCACTTCCTCATTTCGCGCTGGAAACTGAAAGTCTTAACAGATAGGGACAAAATCTAAATAAAAAGTCTGGCTTCCTAGAAGAAGAAGTTGCGCACTTCCTCATCCAAGTCACTGGAGTCCACCAGGTCATTCATGACACCAGACACCAGCAGCTCCACCACTTCCAAATCCTTTTTGTCCTTCTCGCTAACTGCGGCTGCCTCTTCAACTGTTACAGCTTCTGATCCTGCTGCTGCGGCGGCGGCCTCATCCTGCTCATCCGATCCCAGCAGCGCCTGGTAGTCCTCCTCCTCCAGCAGCACTCCGCTTTCGATGGCCGCAACAGCCTCCTCATAGTATCAGTTGAGGTCGCGCCGAAAACTATCCTCGATGTTGGGATCGGCGATCATGATGGGGTTCTGATCGGACAGCATCTGCAGCCCGGCCACGTCCATTTGGCCCAAATCCAGGTCGAGTGTGTCGAAGATCTCCCGGGAGAAATCCGCATTGGAGGAGTAATCGCTAAAGATAATCGAGGGTATATTCGCGGTGGTCGGCGTGTGACTTTGCGAGGATCCCTGATGAAGGTGCGGCTGCTGATGTTGCTGCTGCTGCTGCTGCTGGATGTGGTTCATCACCACATTGGAGTTGGAGCAGGCATTGTGACTCACTGGCGAACTGCTCGAAAGCGGGGAATTCCCATGGTGCGGCGAATGCATCGGTGAATGATGCGGCGAATGGTGCAGAGATAGCGATAGTTGCTGTTGCTGATGGTGTTGCTGCTGCTGATGATGCTGCTGCTGCTGTTGCTGTTGCTGATGGTGGTGGTGTTGTGGGGAGGCCTGTGCCGACATGGGTATCGGTAGCGGTGAACTGGGACAGCCCAAAGGTGAGGGCACTGGCGAAGGGGTTATACCCAAGGGATCCTGTGCGGAATTACCACCACCACTACTGCCATTATTGTTCCCCGCTCCATTTAGATTTGTGCTGCCATTGTGCGTGGATCCCACACCATTGCTCAACCCGTTGTTGTTGTTCAGGTTGCTCACCCCCCTTCGCATATGGTTGTTGTTCCCACTCGCCTCCGGACTGCCGCTCAGCTCGCTAAAGTCCAACATCTCCTGCTTGTTGTTGTAGCCATTGGTCAGAGCTCCTCCTCCATTGCTTCCATTTCCTCCTCCTCCGCCGCCTCCACTCAGGTCGTCAAAGTCCAGGGCCACAAAGTTATTGGCAAAACCCTGCTGTTCCGGCGAGGAATTGCTGTCGCCCAGCGAGAAGATCTCAAACTGATTGTGAAACGAGGTATTCAGACTGTTGTAGGAGTTATCAAACTGTTGGTGACCCTGCTGTTGTTGCTGCTGTTGCTGTTGTTGCTGCTGCTGTTGTTGCTGGACCTGTTGCTGCTGCTGGCGTATTGGACTGGCCGGCGCACTGGAGTGCAGATCCGTGGCCGACACGCTGCTCAGCAGGCCGGGCGAAGAACGCGGACTCGGAGGATTCGGTGGCTGGCGGTAGTCGGTGGCATTGTGCGGTCCCAGCGTTGGGAGCGGGTTAAATGTGGAGACAGCTGCCTGCGTGGTCGCCAGATTGGTGAAGGACAAATGCGGCGAGTTGCTGGGTTGCTGCTGCTGCTGCTGTTGCGTGTTGCCGGTGGGCGAGTGCTGCTGTTGCTGATAGGGTGAACCGGGACCTGCTCCTCCGCCCGCCGGACTAAACGGACTGGGCGACTGATCTCGATCGCGGCGGTGATTGTGCGGCGACATGACAGGCGACAGGGTTTGCTGCAATTGCTGCTGTTGCTGCTGGGATTGCTGTTGCTGCTGCTGGGGTCCATAGTTCTGCAGGGCCGTGAGATCGGGCAGGGAGCCGGTGTTGGCAAAGTTGACCTGATCCTGCAGCGGCCGGAACACGGGATTCGCGAATTTGGCGTTGTTGTATGGCGTGGTCTGTTGCTGTGGATGCTGCTGCTGCTGTTGGTGCTGCTGCTGCTGGTGCTGTTGCAGCTGCTGCATCTGCAGCTGCTGGTGCAGTTGGTGGTGCTGGTGCTGCTGTTGCATCTGCTGCTGCTGCTGTTGCAGCTGCTGCAGTTGCAACTGATGGGGCTGCAGCAGCGGCGACTTTCTGCGTTGCGCCTGCGGACTCAGCGTCCGATTAATCCCATGATGCGGCGAGTGAGATCTTGTCTGGCCAGATTGCTGCTGTTGCTGATGTTGCTGCTGCTGTTGATAGTTGCCGCCGCCCATTGAATTAACATCGGCATTAAAGCCCGCAACCAGGGCGCTTTGGTGGAGGGCAGAATCGGAGCTGGAGCGTCGCCACAAGCTCTCCGCCGTGGGCGGACCGAGAAGATGCGGATTAAGTTGGCCATTGTCCAGGGTTTGTTGCGTGCCGCTGCTGCTGCCGTAGGGCGAGCGATCCTGCTTGCGCTCCGAGGGTCTCCGCATGGGTCCCACGCCCACGCTGCGTCCACGGGACTCGCGATACGCAGTGGGGGAACCACCGCCGCCTCCCAGGCCATCCGGCGAGGCTCCTCCACCGCTGGCTCCGCTGCCGGAACCACTGCCGCCACCATTGCCCGCTCCTGGCGAGGATTGGCTCACCTCCTGCCCGCCAACCAGGCTCTCCAGGATCTTCTGATTCGGATTCTGATTCACCGGCGGTTCGTCCCTCTTTGTGGCATACACCTCCTTCATGATCCGCTCAAATTCCGCCGTGCCCTCCGCCTGCTTTTGCTTCTGCAGCGCGATCTTCTCGCTGAACTTGCGCGGATTGGCCATTGTGGAGGTTGTGTCTTCAGGAAAAAATCTGTTTTAAAATTAAAAAATAAAAATTATAATTAAATATTTAATATCAGGGATTTAGACTTTTGTGTTCGTTATGCTTTTGCTAAGAGTGGTACAGGAAAATATATAAATATATCAATAAAAGACGATATGATTAATATCAAATTTATGATTCAAACATATCAAAATGGCATTTTGTATCTATACACAGAAAAGAAATTCGACTTGAAATAGGGTAATTTCTACCTTATTTCAATCAACAACAATACGATATGATTAATATTAAATTTATGATTCAAACATATCAAAATGATATTTTATTTTCGATATTATATTTTTTTCACAAATATTGTAAAATAAGCAGGGACCGTAAATAACAGTTATTTGCGATTTTTATTTTAAAAAGACTACTGTGATATTTGGTTTTAAACGTCAAAAATAACGTTTTTTTTACTCTTGTCATATTAACTGTTATTTGTTCATGTCTATAAAGTACATAAAAACCAGTTAAATTGTTGATTAAAACTTGTATAAAACTCAGTAGGCCTTTTAAAATAAAAATCACAAATAACTGTTATTTACGGTCCCTGAAAATAAGATAAACATAATCTTTGTTCATATCATTTCGATCTTACAAAAATATTAAATTAATCTGCACATGTCAATCTGATATTTTGTCAATATTTTCTCTGTGTAGTATCTAATTTAATTAGCAAGTGATTTCCACTATTTGTTGGAATTTCGACATCTGGAGTATTTTCTTTAATTTATAACTAAACATCTTAAATACAAATTGGCGAATAAACCTTAAAATTGGCACATCTCATATCTCACTCTATGCGGAAAACGTGAAAAGGTGTAGTCTCCAATCTGTTGCCATAAGCTAGCTTATCCATCTCAAGGCATTTCCGCTCCCTGAGTGCACACACCTTTATCCCCCCTTTTTATCTGCCGGCGAAGGGCATGGAAATGTTTTGACAGGGGGGGCGGCATCCAGCCGTAAAGTAACCACCCTCCCCATTCTTGTTTTATCAATTTGTCAGTCGAGCGACTTGCTGATAAGCCAGATACAGATACAAAACAGTCGCCGTTTGTCCGAGTCCCAGTCGGAATTCGCATTCGCATTCGCTTTCGGATTCCGATTCGGATGCCGATTCGGGTTCGGATTCAGGTCCGTAATGTTTGCCCGGTTGTCGCGGTCTCGGGTCTTTGGCCCTCTCTTCTCCTCTCCTCTCTTCGCTCGATTTCAATGCCATTGCATAACGAGTGTCATATGTACGAACATGTGTGTACATATGCGATATATGTATATCTGCCGAGTGTTCAAAAAGGGCGGGAAAAAGCGACGAGCGGGCAAACAACAAGTTCTTTGAAAGCGACTGTGTTTTGGATTTGGGGTTGGTTATAAGTAGTAGAAGTCTTGGGGTGGCGGGTTTATCGGGGGGCTGCCTTTCGTCGCCACCTGCAGCTGCATTATGCAAATGTCGCGAATTGCGTAGCAAACGAAATAATCTTTTTTTTTTTTGTTTTTGCATTAATTTATTCCGGTTCCGCGGCAGTGCAAAGTTGAAGCTTTTAGCTCATTGTTTTTGTTTTTGAAGGGCATTTAGTAAAAACAACTTTTAGCCACGCTTTCCCAAAACTCAGAAAAACGCTGCTCGGATTATGCTCCAAATATTTGTAGCTTCCTAAAGACTAAAGCCATAAACCAGTTCCACAGCTTTTGACAACTTTTCGATGAGTTTCGATCGATCGATGATGATGATGATGCGTTGACAAAAGCCTGAAGTGGTGACCAATAACCGCTCGAAAAGCAATCTAAGCAAGCTAAAATCAACAAGAGAGAACGCTATAGTCGGGTTGGTGTCCCGACTATCTAATACCCGTCACTCAGCTAAAGGGAGTGCGAACGCTGTGTCGGGTTGGTGTCCCGATTAATAATCGTAACTCAGCTAAAGGGAGTGCGAGGGAGATAGATATATAATTTTTGATTGCGTATAACTTTTTAATGAATGGTCCGATTTGAAAAATGTCTTCTACATTTCGATAGGTATAAATATACACAACAAAATTGCATTTATACTTCTCGGAAATCTTTAAAGATGTGGGCGCAGGACCCATTTTAAAATCGTTAGTGGGCGATTGTGGGCGTTAGAGGGGGCGTGGCGCTCGGCTAAAATAAACTTGCGCTGCGTAGGAAGCCAAAGAATATGTGTGGGAAATCTCAACCTTCTAGCTTTTGTAGTTTCTGAGATCTCAGCGTTCATACAGACGGACAGACGGACAGACGGACAGACAGACAGACAGACAGACAGACAGACAGACAGACAGACAGACGGACAGACGGACATGGCTAGATCGACTCGGCTAGTGACCCTGATCAAGAATATATATACTTTATGGGGTCGGAAACGCTTCCTTCTAGCTGTTACATACTTTTGCACGAATCTAGTATACCCTTTTACTCTACGAGTAACGGGTATAAAAATTGCTCTTTATCTTTCGCAAAGACATAAAAATGTGGGCTCTCAGATGGTTTCAGGTTCTTATCAAATGGTAAACTTATGTACCTACACATAGTACACCGAAAAAATAGTGGTTGCCATGCATGATAGTAAATGAAAACAAAAAGTCAGACAAAAAGGAGAAAAAATATTTGCAGTGAATAATTAGTGTTTATTATTATTAAACATTGCGATTTTTAATCCATTCAATTTAAAATATATATATACAAATTTTAAATTTGGATACATTTCAAGTATTACGCATAATATACATATTTCACCACAAATATATTTATTAAATATTATTATTTTTCAATTCATAATGACCCTACTATATACAGTGTATATAACTACTTAATTTGACTGGTATTACTCATCTAAAAATATGTGTAGACTGCTCGGAAGTCTATAAATATTATAAAACGATGATGAATGAAACTGATTGCAACTTGTTTAGGCTACGGAATGCATAATTATTGAACAACATTTTCCCCAAGAAATTTCCAACCGCAAACTAAATAAGACCCTCAACTTCCCACGTACTTATTAAACCCTACCTCTAGTTCAAACCCTCATTAATTTGAACCATTAGCTAATTTAACCTTATCGATTTCTTATTCAGGTGAAGAAAAGAATAGCTCAATTAAATCGATTAAGGTAATTTCTTTTGAGGAAACCTCAATTGCTCAGCTGTTTCTAAAGCATAATTTTCCCCTGCCTTGAGTTCATTTGATTCCAATTTATCATTTTGATTTATTTGCCTGGGAGTTTCTTGGAACTAACGTTGGACTTAAAATGTTTGGTATAAAAAATGACTATAGTATTGTTGATGGGTTGTTGTGGACGTGTTAATTCTAGCTAAATGCTGACTCATTTAAGATATGGTAAGTTTTTTTTTCTTAATGCAGGGTGTGAAAACATCGCTTAGTAATATACTCAGGAAATTAAAACTGATAGTTCTTAGAAAATATTAAAAATATGGATAATTACTTTTACTTTATTACAAAATTGTATACAAATTTCATAAAAAATACATTTTTAAAAATTATAAGATATTAAATTATGATTAATTAAATTAAATCCGCAATACCGAATAGAGGGATTGTCATCAAAATTAAGAAAACAATAAAAAAGCAGCTGATGTGAAAAATATATCCTTGAAAATAAGCAAAATTGTATTGTCCTTATGTGTTTAAGAATTTACCTATAGTTTTTGCCTACCAATATCCAAATGAGGTTTCTTATTCACATTCAAATGAGTCCCACTTCGTGACCATCTCTATATCTCCCTAGGATGAGTAGATGACTAATATTGGCAGACATCGGAAGTGTAAGGCCCATTATGGCTTAAACGCGATGCAGGAGCGAAGAGATTTCGAATGCGGCTCACACTTTTGGACGAGGCGGCAATTGTGGCCATAAAAATGGCCGAGCACGCCTCAAACTAAACAAAGGTAGATATTACTTTTTGGGAGGGACTGGGTTTTTTTTAGGGGGGTAGGTATTTAAGGGGAGAGCTGGTGTCGGGCAAAGCGGAAATATTCCCACGAATCGATAATGACATTTAATAATTATTTAATACTGTCGCCGATAAAAATGGTTAACTACACTTAACAAAAGCAACTACATTTGAACCGAATAGGAATAATTTAAAATTATTTTTTGTATTTTAATTGTGTGCAAAATTTTGAAAAGAAATTACAAATTTAAAAATATTCCTTAGTTTTTCAACTTAATAAAAATAAAAAAAATTTAAAAACAAACATTTTTCTTTCAATGTATTTGAGTGTGAATGGCCTATTTTTATCTTTCTCCCCATTTATCCTTCTCTCTCTCTCTTTTCTCCTTCGCCCCAATTCTCAATTTTGACTCCTGGGAATTGCTTATCAGCCGTTTTTTATAGCCACGCGCATTCCCTGGAATTTTTGAATAATTTCCGATGTTTGTTTATTTATCGCGCGGCGCAACCGCAACAGTTGAAAGGAAAATTGAAAGAGGAGGGGGAAAAAACATTTGCAGAAAAGTGTGCAAAGCGAAGAGGCGGCAAAAACAAAACGAACGGTAAAGAGGGGGCGGGGGCGGAGGCGTTACTTACAGTCTCTCGTTCGCCGCTAACTCCAATTGGATCTCTCGCTCTCTCTGTCGCTCTTGTGCTATGCAAATTGGATTCTGGCTTGATTAAAATCTCATAAAGAATTTAATTTTTTGGCGCTTTTTTGTAGTTGTTGTTGTTGTTATGGCCTTTTGCGTTGTTTTTTTTTTTGCGTCGCCTGATAAAACCAGATTTGATTTTGAGTTGTTTGCGAGCCGAGAGTTGTTAAATCCGAAAATCGGTTTGTTGGGGGGATTATTTTAACAACTGATTGTTTTTCTTTTTTCGTTATTCCGCCTCGCTCTTACACACACACACACTGCCGCACGCGCACGCACACTGGGAGAGGTTTATTGTTTTAACGCAAAACTGCGACGTTGTTTTTTTTTGTATTTTGCGCTCTCAGCTGGTTGGCACTTT